TGCACGAATTATGTGCAATAAAGTGATAAAAAACGTGTATTAATGAAAATGTGAACGCCAGTTCACCAACAAAGAAAACAACGCGGGTGAATAAAACATCACCCCTTTACATGGTCCTTCGAAAGCAGATGAAAAAAAAATCAACACCTATGGATATTCTGGACATCGGTTTAACAAAAATCGTAAAAACAGTAATTTTCTCAAACAATCGAAAAGCCGGTAAGTCTCTCCATCCTTCTTTAATCCATTTCATTTCGTATCGCTCTGTCTCACTCGTCGTCGGGGCAGCGTGGTCCTGTTAATGTAGGTTAGTAATCTACCAGTAAAATATAAACAATTGTTTATATTTTACTGGTAGATTACTATTATTTAAATAAACCTATTTAAAAAATTGACTCATAAGAGTTGATTTAAACACATTGCAATTGAGTTTAATAACAATTGTTGATTCGTTGCTCGCTCAAACAAAATATTTAAAACAAATTACACATATTTTAGTTAAAAACATTTCAAAATCAACTACTTAAACAGATTCGATCAATTTGTAGACACATTTGAGACAAAAAAATTATTTATAGAATTGGAAACTTGATTACAAATAATTGATAAGACTTATTTGAAATTTATAGACATTAACGAGTTAGTCACCTTAATACCATCTTCTGAACTTGATGATACCTACCTAACTTAACCGAACTGTCAGAATTTGAAAATTCTTATTTTCGAATTATTTCAGCAGCAAAGGTGTTAATTTAACAAAATCAAAACACAATCCTAAGCAACTTATCACAAAATCGTAAATTGGCACAAAACTGCAAATAATTACGTTGAATTTGCGTTAAGAAACGAGATTGTAACACAAAATCAACGTTAATTTTGAGTTAATTATGGGTGATACTTGTGCGCAACTTAACGTTAAATTTGCGTTTAGTGAATTCGCCAGGGATGCAAGAATTTAAGGAATACTAACGAGGAAAGCAAAAGCAAAACCTTTAACAAAAGTTAAGGATATTCAAGAAGAAGGGAAAACGTTGATTCTAAAACAAAAAAACTCCTCATTGGCCTTTAAAGAATGGAGCTGAACAGGATAAAAAATAACAACAATGCAGCATCGAAAACTTAAGGTTTAACTTGGTGGAAAACAGGAAATGGGTGACGCAATTTAAATATAAAAATGAGGTAAAATAATATTTCTTCAGCAATTAATTGTTTCACTTTGTTTAAAGAATAGGGGCGAAATATACCGAGTGTTGTTTAAGATGTGGCCCAAGCTCGGTTACCTGTAAATGGGACATATGTCGGTGCCACACATACACCCGGGATTCGCCAAATTAGTGAGAGGAACCGGTTTCGATGCCATGGTAACCCTCCCTCGCGGGTGCCACAGTGGGTAAAATAAGAAACAGTTGAATGTGACTGAAGCTCCTTTGCAGTCAATTATTTGGAAGAAGTAGTGGTTCCTTTCATAAAGCCAGCTGCTTACCCTTGTTGTCTGTTGTCCAGCAACTTGGTTCTACTGTAGCTAAAACTTCTTTTGAAGCTAGCTACAAAACATTGCAGGGGCGCAGCGGAATCACGTATAGTGGCAGCTGAATGAAGTAGTAAGGGCGCAGCTGAATCACTGATAGTGGCAGCTGAATAAAGAAGTAAGGGCGCAGCTGAATCACTTATAGTGGCAGCTGAGTAAAGTACTAGGGGCGCAGCTGGATCTTCCTTGAAGACAGTTTTTGGGGTCAACCATCGGTTTGCGATTTTGAAACGATTAGTTAAACATCTTTTGGTGTAACTAAAAGCAGGTGTTTAGGTTAAAACCTATTCTTATTATTTTTCAGGCTTATTGCATTTTGTTGCTGAATTTATTTTTATTTTTGACTTTATCAAGTTGTAATGCTTTTAATTTTTTGTGCAACAATTTTAATTTAATGAGGATCTAATGTTTAACGAGGAATATTTGTTGACCTGTTGACCAAAAGTGAAAGGATTTTGACACGTGAGCAACTGACAAAATTGGAGGATCGGGAAATTTAAACGTAGTCAACATGATGTCACCAAATATGTTGGTGATGATGTTCAGGATAATAATGAAGCCGTCAAGAACGTAGATGACTGTCAATACTTAAGGATGATTTATTTTTGATCAGGTGTGTCATGTTTATTTTTATTTTTGGACTTCCTTTCTTATATCTTAAGATTTTACTCATGAACTGACGAACTAATATTACTAACTCTATTAACAATTGACATTTGACTCTGACACACGACTTTATATTGTTATATATAATTTTTTTCATGTTTATTTGTTTTATTTTATCCTATTTAAATTTACTGATTAGTCTTTCTTTTATTTTTCATGTACGTTAAATGTATTTGATGTGAGCTATGATGTACTTAGTCATGGTGGATTTGAGCAGGGGCAGACTTAGGCCGAAGGATAGTTGTGAACAGGGGCGTACTCAACTTAAAAGAATAACAGGGATGTTAAAAGTTTGACAAGCTGCCCAACGTCATTCGCCAACCTTTTAAAGGGGCGTCTGTAATGGTTCAGTACTTCAATACGTTTTACAAATTTATTTTTAAATAAGTTTAAAATTTCTAAATTGTGTTGTAAATTGTAAAAATCTTTGCAAAAGAGGTAAAAAACGGACGTTTAGGTAAATAAATTACAAAGTTTCGTGGAAGACCGAAATTTTGCCTGAAATGGGAAAAAATCTGTTGACCAGATCAGGCGAAAACAACATTGAAACTTGGGGAGGGAAGCAAAGAAAGCGGCAGAAAGTTTTCCGAAGTGTTAGAGAACGGATAGTTTTCGTGAATCTTTGCTAAAACAACAATTATTGTAAATTCTGTGTAAACAATTGTTACAAGAGTTTGTATATTCTCCCAGGTTAGTTCTTAATTTTAGTAGCCCAATTATGTAGTAAAGTCTACTAAACGTAAATTTAGATTTAAATAAACTGATCATTAGTTATTTTGCACTAGTATGTTTAGTGAATTTTACCCGATATTAACACCTTTTGTTTTAGATATTTTTATAAAATGTTTTTTATGCCTTTTCAGTTTACTACTAAATGTAAAAATTTATATTCCTTTATTTTATTGTCCTAGGCTTAATTTAGTTGTAAACTGTCCCTGTTACTCAAATGTTTAGACCTTCCCCAACACGATTATGCATTTTTGCGGTAATTTTAAAACAAATATCAGTGTAATACAGGACGTTTCGTTGCTTAAAAGGGAGTATTTACCGTTAATTTTAAACCTTGAATGCTCCTTTTTCTTTAGTACGTAGTTTGCAGTAGATACTAAAATGCTCCCCTCCGTGAGGGATAACTGGTCACCTAGGTTCTCTAGGTGGCATCGCAACTTTTATCCCGAACCTTCATCTTTACGCGTGGACCTCGTTTTCCAAAGGGCAATGTTAACGTTGACAGACTAACAGTTAACTGTCCTGTTAAACTAACAACATTTTTCCTATTTTTGGATCTGTAGGGGGTAGATAGTGTAACGAGCGTCGTGTCATTCCATTGATTTGCGTAAACCTTTAAAGAAACAATGCCTAATCGTGAAATCCTTTGCTACTTCATAGCCGAACAAGGTTTTCTCAAGCTCTTTTTCCCTGGTCGTATCTCCCTAAGAGCCACCCCTTGTTTTTTTAACTGTTTGTAAAGTAAATTAAATTGGGGTAAACTAAACACTGTATTTTAAAGCAATGTATTTAATAAAACAAGTAGGTAAACACAACGTAGAAGTCCAAATTTTGGTAAGACTATCATGAGCCATAGTCACAAAATAGTTCATTTATTAATTTTTCATAAAACTTGTTTTAACGAACCTGGTGTATGGAGAAATCTTTACAGTATATAAATTTATTTAAATAGGAATTTATTTTGAAACGATGTTTATCTTGTTTTAGTTTGGTTTTACATGCATTTATACCTAGGTTACCTAGGCTAGGTATATATAGAAAGGCCAAGGGGCAAAAAGTATTTTCTTGAATTATATAAGAGAAATATTAGAACAGCAAAACAAACTTACAGAAAGTTATCGCTCAATAAAAATAACGCTTACTGTATTATGCTAATAGCATATCAAGTTTATTTTATTTATTTATTTTTATTTTATACATTTTTTATTTATTAAAAATTACTAATCAGATGCAAGTTACTTTTTTAAATTTTATTGTAAACATGTTTTAAATATTTTATATTTTATTTAAGAAAATAAATATTTATTTTAATTAATTTTAGCATTTTTTAGTCCCTTAATTAAGTAAAATCATTAATGGCATCCCTTTGATTTTATAATGAATTCATCATGTGACTCATTAAGGATCTCACGTTGCTCATCAAAAGTGCAACACTTATGCGTGCCACAGTGACATCACTGAATAAATCAGCAATGATCACGTTGATGTCACAACGAATTCATCGTGTGACTCATTAAGGATATCATGTTGCTCACAAAAGGGGAACATATGCTAGCCTCAGTGACATCACTGAATGAATCAGCAATGATTTCACGTTTATGTCTTAAATGATGTCATAATTGTTATCTGGGATTAAACACGAAAGTTATCTTTTTCTTTGAAAATATAGCTAAAAAACCAAATATTACACCACTGAATTCAAAGCCCAAAAAATTAGGTTTACGTACATACCAGATTTTTTTGTGTCTTTTTGATGTTACTTCTGTGTAATTACTGTATTTTTATTATAATACATTAATTATTGATATTTAAGGAATTTAAGAAGGTAATTATAAAATACACATTTTAATTCTGATTTATATTTAAGTTAAAAAAAAATTAAACAATATTTGACACGAGGTTAAAGTGGGTTTTGAATACAATCAAATATGTATAGTCTTATAGTTGTATCTTAGATAAAAAAATGTTATCACCACTATAGATTTTGTGTTAAGTGAATAAATAGTAAATAAATAAAAATAAATTAGTATGAAATATTCAATGTACAAAAGAGGCCTTATTTATTAAATAGTAGAAACTAGAAGGAAGTTTCCAAAGCAGGAGAAGGGATTGTACTTTTACCATCAGTTTGAAAGTTTATTTTTCTAGCATAATTATAAGTTTTTCCTTTATTTTCATCACAAGAGTAGTCGGCGTTTTCTATCTCTCTACAATCTTCCAGTATTGTAGAGGAGAGAACGTCTGTTCTGGGGTTCATAAATCTCCATTGCGATCTGGGAGACATAATTTTTAAAAACTTAGATTTTTCTTGCTGCAGACCAGGGGATATGAATTTTTTATTACCAAATGACCGCGGAGATCCACTTAAATTCAAAATGTCCATTCCATTATTTTTCGGCGATGGCTGCGATTGTATTTGCTCTCTCGAAAGTTTTAGCTGTTCAACTGCCGATATTTTTTTACTCCTGTTTCCCAATATATTGCCACTCTTCTTCAATAGTAGCTGTTTAAAGTCCATTCGTGAAGTTTGTTTTCTATTATCGAATAAACCTGGTTTCGTGTTTGTTGACGGTGATAAATTATTTTTGTTCTTGTTTTCCGATTTTCCGAATGAATTTGAAGCAACTTTTCCGTCAATCTCGTCTGCAGTTAAAGTTAGAGCTGGGCGGTCTGTTTCAATATTCATTCGTTTTTTGCTTTTGTGAATAATCGCATACAATTCCTCGTTTGACATGTGAGATTTCTTTGTCGCCAACAAATGGTTTTCTAAATTATACACAGGGTTTATTTTGTGAACATTTTTAGCAGATGGAGTAGACGTTTTAAATTCACCGGAATACCTTGGGTCAATTGGCGATATTTTCAACGAATAATTTGAGTTAGACTCCCTAACATTAAAACTATCAGTCTGATAAGGTGAGTCAATAGAGTTGTAGCAAAAAGGTTCATTTATAAAATTAACTTTAGGTATTTCTACTGGTTTTCCTAAATTCCTATTTAATCCCTTGAAATGTCCCATTTGACCAATTTTTGGCAGTTGCTTTCTTACCAGACCACTTGTCAGGTCCGGCGATATAAACTGATATGAACATGCTTCCTCGTAGAATTTATCTATAGGTCTCGAATTATAATCGTAGCCATAGCCTAAGTCATCTTTTTTATATTCTCTATTTTGGTACATTTTGGTTTCTGAATTTGTTTTATGTGGAAGGGGATATCCATCTAAAAAACAAAATTAAATTAATGTTTTATTGGTTTTATAAAAAATAAATGAAGTTGGCCAATCCTCACGGGGAAAATTACAATACATATTAAATTGGATAAAAAACCTTCATAAGTAGTTTTAATATTTTATTGTTATTTCCACAAAATGTTTTTGTTTTGAATAACAATTTAATTGTAAAACAAGATATAAACGGTCTTCCAAATTGTTTCTGCAAATATAAATGTAAGACACAACTTTTCCAAAAGCAGAATATTAAAAACGTAAACTTTTTTTTAAAAATTTAAAAAATCAAAAATAAAAAGTGAACATTATGAAGTATTTCCATATTTAATTTTATTGATTTTAATTTACCATATTACAAAACCATTGCTTTTATAACAGTGGTATAAGGACTACAGTCACTGTAAATGTCTAAATTTTACCTTCCCAGACCGTAAAACACCATTCCCTGCACATGTCAGGAATAATTCCAAGATTATTCCAAGCGTTCCAGAATATTCCCAGGAATATTCCTGGGGTAATCAAATGTCCGCTTTTTGGTTAACCCAGTCATTATAAAAAGAATATTCCATGTAGCGGCATGCATAAGACTTAAGTATTTTTAGGAAAATGTCCCTTAATATAATTTGGTGATTACTCCTAGCCCTTATGGCAACTTATACCCAGAAACTTAACTTAACTAGCCATTATTAATTACTGAGTAGATCAGTCCCACTCTAATCATTGTTTAGCTGTGCCATCATAGACGCACATCTCCAACTGATATTTTTAAACTATAGGTGCAACGGTGAGAGGTATTGCAACTAAACTAATAGATATTCACTGGGAATGTTCTTAAATATGGTGTTTGGAAGTTTTAGAGGATCATTCTATGATATATTCCAAATGAATATTCCTAGAAAGAAGCGAATTATTTCTAGGCGATAGGGCATATTCATGGAATATTTTCGAACCTTCATTGCAGTCTGGGCTTACCTAATTTTCAATTTAGGTAGCCATATATTTTTATTTGGACCTACCAATAATAACCCTTGTGGAAATTTTTCTCTGAGAAAGTCTTACTTTCTCTGAAAAAGTCTGAATAATACTTATTAAGTCGGAAAAAGTCAGAATAAGACTTATTCCCAGATAGCACAAAGAAGTACTAAAAACGTCCTGAGTATATCTTGTATCAGACATTAGTAAGTTCCGAGTACGTCCGAATCAGGTCCTGAACCTTCCCCAGGACGTTCCAGGGACATCCGATGTTACCAAATCGTCGGTCCCCAGAACGTCCTAAGAAAGACATCCTCTGGCCATCCTGAAATGCTTTATTGGGGACTAATGGACAAGCTTTACAGAATTGAAGAGTGGTATTCCCAAAGGCCCAGACAGCAATATGACGTCTTAATTAAGACTTATTTTATTAAATTAAGAAAGAATAGCATTAAAATGTCATAAATGTGACGTCTCCATGATGACGTCTTAAAAAGTTAATAATATGTACAAAAAAACTCATACAGCTATATTATGGCTGTGTGAATAAAACTTTTCCGTCAATGTCAAGCTGACATCGAGCTTTGTCACATCCATTATGACTTTTTTAACATTTTTAACCAAACAATGCATACGAACTCTGGCAAGCCATTGAAGCCATTTGGAACGAGATAAAGCAAGACGGCGACTTCCATGCTTTGCCGTTTGCGGGCAGTAATTGACAAAAACAGAGGGATGACGAAATATTAATTTTTTTTTCAAACTTCAACCTAACTTTGTATTTAATTTTAGACCTTTCAAATGTGACGTATCATGTTAAAAGCCATAATTACTCCAACGAAATGATGAAAATCAGGAACACTAGATTTTTAAGCGGTATGAGTTTTTTTTGTTAGCAATAGTACGTCCTTGGGACGTACCCAGTATATCCGCTATAATTTTCCCAAATAAGTAAGAGACTGGACGTACCCAAAACTTCCGATATAGGTCTAGGACGTTCGGACCTATGTGGGACCCGAAATGGACGTCCTGGGTACCTCTTGTGCTATCTGGGTTAAGTCGGAAAAAGTCTGAATAAGTCTTATTAAGTCAAACTAATAGCAAGATTTGGGAGTCTTCTGGAAGAGTTAATAAGACTTTTTAAGACTTATTAAGACTTTTAGTAGAGAAATGGTAGGTACCTACGGAAATAAATATCCGAAATAATTCATAGAGATTGTATTTGGTTATCGTAAAATTAAACACATAGAATAGTACATTCTGTAACAAGTTTGGAATACAGCATATTCCGCTCGAGGAAAAATTTGACACACGAGCCGAAGGCGAGTGTGACGGTTTTACGAGAGTGGAATATGCTATTCCAAACGTGTTTCAGACATTATTTTCTCTACGACTACGTAAGAATAGTAACGCTTATATAATTTTAAACAGAGAAAAGAAACCAAGCAGTTTTTGACATTTAAGTTTTTTGTATTGTCAAACCATTTTGTGCCGTCACAATTTAATAATGTAAATTATAATAAATTTAAACAAATGGTATGCCTAAATCTTTATTGTAATTAAAAATAGTTATTTACACTAACTAATAAAAAAAATAACATTGTAACAAATACAAAACTAATTTTACAAGTAATCTATGTCAACATCCATTCTTTTTCTACATTTTAAAGGTCTTTTTTTAAAACTTTTTGAATCTGTCAAAACTTCAAAGCCGGTATAGTAGGTAACTGGTTTATCATTTTAATATCAAATTTATTATAATTTTGATTTGATTATTTGAAAAACAATAAATAAAACTAATTTTTTGTGCCTAAACCTTCCCACTGGGAAAGAAACCTTACAAAATATTGCTGCAATGTTCGCCGACTTTACAAATAAAATATTTCCTGTGCTACTTGCATTAACATAAATGAAATGATACATTTGAAATATTGCATATAATAATTTCCAACAACCTTAAATTAAAAACATTATTTAAAGATTCACATGGAAAGTTTTTACAATGTTAAATTTGTAACATTAAGTATAAAATGTTGCATAAAAGTTTTTAAACATTACAATTATAATATTGCAGACATAACTTTTTTCAATGTTTCAATTGAAATATTAACAAAAGTTTCAAATGAAAAATGTTTGCAACTTTACTTTAAATATACAATAGAAACATTTATTTTGGAATGTTTGGGAATATTTTTGAAACATTGCAATTATAATATTACATTGATAAGTTTTGGGCAATGTTTCATCCGAAATATTACATTAAGATGATTTTTGCAATGTTGCTTTATATAAATAATATAAACATTTAATTTGCAAGATTTTTGAAACATTGCAATTATAATATTACATTGATAAGTTTTGGGCAATGTTTCATCCTAAATATTACAATAAGATGATTTTTGAAATGTTGCTTTATATAAACAATATAAACATTTAATTTGCAAGATTTTTGAAACATTGTAACTATAATATTACATTTATAATTGTAACTTTAGTTTTTGACTATGTTTCATCCGAAATATTGCATTAAGATAATTTTTGCAATGTTGTTTGCAGACTGACTTGCCGATGCATCTCGCCGCTGTCTTGGTCATTTATATCTTTATAAGTGAACATTGCCGAGCTTGATGCGTGTCTCCCGTCACCGACTGCCTTACACTGATAAGACCAAACAGGTCGAAACAGTCTGTTATTTATATATAATAGGCCTATAGCTTACGGATAAATAATTATAATTAATTATTATAATAATAATTCATATTAATTTAATTGCAATGTTCCTGTAATGTTGCAGGAACCTTTTATTAACAAAAATAACATTTAGTAACATTGCAATTAATACATTTAAGCAACATTTTATTTGTAAATGTAATGTTTCTGAACCATCAGGCTTTAAAGCCAATTGTTGCAATGTTCCTGCAACATTGCCACAAGGTTTTTTGTAACATTACACCTAACAAATGTAATGTTGCAGGAACATTACATTAACAAAAATAACATTTAGTAACATTGCAATTAATACATTTAAGCAACATTTTATTTGTAAATGTAATGTTCCTGAGCCGGACATAAGGCTTTGTTGCAATGTTCCTGCAACATTGCCACAAGGATTTTTGTAACATTACATCTGACAAATGTAACGTTCAGTAACATTGTAGAAATATTATTTTTCCCAGTGGGTTAATTATACAACTGCTATTATTTTTTAATTAATAAATAATACAGTAATATTTAAATATTTTTAAATTTTTTACGTTTAGTAAACAGCCAGGAGATGTCGTTACTTATGACCATTCTTAAACAAGAGTAGGAATATTCTCGCACAGTATTGCAGAAAAACATCCTTTCTATGATCAAAAATTATACTAGAATGTTACTATTCTTAAGTAGTCGTAGAGAAAAGTATTTATTAACATTTTTGCTGTTGTTATAAGCCAAGTTTATTGCATAATTACCTATATAATAACATAGGTAAGATGTAATAATTATAACAATTATAATTTTATACATACGATGCGCTTGACATGCATGCTTTCATTGTTTCCACCATAGAAAAAGGAGTTGCCACTGTACGTTTTATTTTAATAGTTTCTTTTGATACACGCAAATATTTACCTATCTAAACATTGTTACAAACGAAATATCGAGAGACCAGCTCAGCTAGCTGACCAATTAGAGCACAGCTGACCTGTCAGTGGGACACAGTGTTGCCGTTTGCAAGTATTTTACTCGAAAATCGGGTATTTTCGTAATATTTGCGGGTGATTTGCAAATTTCTATCAAAATAATAACCAAATAAATTTTCAGTAAATAATATTGTATATTTACTAAATATGCACAATTATTTTATTCTATCCTGTTACATATTTTTATTATTATTTTAGTATTTTGTAATTTATGGTCAGGAACTTTTATGGCAACACTGTTCGTAAACACGAAGATCAACCATGATACAAAGATTAATGAAACACGAAGATCAATTTTTGTCTTATGAGTCTATCGAAAATATCATGTCTATAGACATGATATTAACTCCTCTTTCTATGGTGGAAACAATGAAAGCATCTCAAGCGCATAGTATATATGTATAAAATTATAATTGTTATAATTATTACATCTTACCTATGTTATTATATAGGTAATTATGCAATAAACTTGGCTTATAACAACAGCAAAAATGTTAATAAATACCTTTCTATGTGTTTTATTTTACGATAACCAAATTCAACCTCTATGAATTATTTCGGATATTTATTTTTATCGCCATAGGTACCTACTAGGGGTGTCAATCCCGGGATCCCGAAGTCCCGGGATCCCGTAAAAAATCCGATCCCGAAAATCCCGGGATTAAAAGTCCCAATCCCGGGATCTTAGTAATAAGTTACAAAGAATAAAATAGACTTTTTTTAAGCGTATGACATTTTTCATATTATAATACTCATAAGCATATTTATAAACACTTCATTTTTTTACTCAGCTCAAGTCAAAATATTATACACCACCGTACAATAATGAAAATACATTGAAATTACATAGCAAGAGTGGTTCCATCTATAGCATAAAATCAGCAAAGAAAATTTAAAATTACAGGTTACTGTAGAATAAATTTATGTACATAATCTATAATATAACATATTTCAAACGTCAAACCTAAAAAAATGTCAACTTGATAATTTCAATGTAAGTTACAGCCCCAATTGGAACTCACCAAGGCCCGATTGATAAAAGAAAGGGAATTATTTGTTAATGGGGGTAAACGTGGGTACAATGTGCCTACGAATTCTTGAAAACCATTCTTTCGATTAGTGTGGTCCGAAAGATATAGTTCGTTAGTTTGTTAGTTGTTTTATTTTAAATTGGTTTTAAAATTAATGATATATATTTTTTCGGGACTGATCCCGGGATCCCGGGATTAGTTACCTTTGGTACCGAAAGGCCCGGGATTGGAAAATGGGCTCGGGATTGACACCCCTAGTACCTACCATTTCTCTACTAAAAGTCTTATTAAGTCTTAAAAAGTCTTATTAACTTCCAGAAGACTCCCAAATCTTGCTATTAGTCTGACTTAATAAGACTTATTCAGACTTTTTCCGACTTAATACCTAAGTCTTATTCTGACTTTTTCCGACTTAATAAGTATTATTTAGACTTTTTCAGAGAAATTAAGACTTTCTCAGAGAAAAATTTCCACAAGGGAATATTGATGGGATTAATTATAATTACTTACAGTTTTTTACTGTCATTGGTAGAGATGATACCAAATACAAGGAACAGGTATCGATTTCAGGCCATTCTACGCGTAACGGATGGGACAGTGGCAAGTTTTTATTTACAAAATAACATTGTTCTATTATATTACTAATGTAAAATTTTTATAAATAGTTCTAAAGAAAAGCTGTTTAACCAGGTTTTTATTTGGCAAAATTAGGTATCGTGGTTGACTGTTTAATTCCTTTAATTTATTAATTCAAAAACCCTACTAGTACTGTTTTTGAATACAAAAAATTAATTTTTAAGGAATTTAACAGACAACCACAATACCTAATTTTGCCAAATAAAAACCTTGTTAAACAACTTTTGTTTAGAACTATTTATAAAAATTTTACATTAGTAATATAATAGAACAATCTTATTTTGTAAATAAAAACTTTGAACTCTCCCATCCGTTACGCGTGGAATGGCCTAAGGGGCACCTAGTCTTTCAGCAAATACTAGGTCCACCTAGTATTTTGGAAAATACTAGGTCCACCCAGTATTTTAGTAAATGCTAGGTGAACCTAGTATTTTGGAAAAAGCTGGTTGCACCTAGTATTTTTGAAATACCACAAAATAGAGTGGGCAAAATAATTAATTCATTTCAAACCGTGGGCGAATTGCTAAAGTAAGCTTTAAGTTAAAATTAGTTAAAACCAGGACCAGGACCGTGGGCACGGGTGGGGGGTTAGTTGTTTAATCGCCCCTAGAAGTTTTTAAACTGCCATTTTCACTTGAAATACTAAAAATAACCCAAAAATATGAAATTTTACTTAAAATATATTTTTGTACAAGGTTTGATAACCGAGGGGACCCCAGGAGTAAATCCTGTGCACAGCCTACACAGTTCTACAATCAAATAATAAAATGTTTAAAAATTGTAATAAAATCGTAGGTTTTAAATGAAACATTATTTGTTTTTATAGTAAAAAATTCCCAGGAAAATTCGATTACGGTAAAATACCCGTAAATTTTGGATATTTAGTGAATTTTAATTTTTTAATGGTTTATTCGTTGTGTCTAGGTCCTGAGACGGGACTTAAGTTTAGTCCTGACTGATGTCATAATTTGCGTCACACACTGTAAATCGGTATTAATCCCTAAGCGTTATATAATTGATATTAGCTACTCGATACTTTATTTTATAAATTTACATTACATAACCAAATAATACAATGTGGCATTACAAAGTATTAATTTTACATTCATATTTTAGATTATTTACCCTTCCTTATCATCATTAAGGTAACATAATATAATATGTAATGAAATCGCAGGTTTTAAATGAAACATTATTTGTTTTTATAGTACAAAATTCCCAGGAAAATTCGATTACGGTAAAATACCCGTAAATTTTGGATATTCAGTGAATTTTAATTTTTTAATGTTTAGATATTCGTTGTGTAAGTTTGGTCCTGACTGATGTCATAATTTGCGTCACACACTGTAAATCGGTAAAGCGTTATATAACTGATATATTAACTAGGCCTAGGCTGGGTAGCTTAGATTGTGGGGTTCTCACATAAAATGCGAGAGGTACCTACCGGGTTCGATACTTTATTTTATAAATTTACATAATCAAATAATACAATTTGGCATTAAAAAGTATTAATTTTGTTGAAAAGTGTTGGGTGGGTTGGTTTGTTTTAGTTTTATCCTAACAATTACATGAAATCGTAAAATTATGACGTCACTCGGGATCCACCCTGTCAATCCCTTGTCTATGTCGGGATCGAACTAAATTCCCGCATCGGGACTGTAGACACACAGTTAATTATAACTATAAAACAATAAATTAATAGAATCAGATCAACATTTTTGTCACAACATAATCTAAAAAAAATACTTCATCAGTATGAAAATTGATAATATTGCCAGTTATAAAATTCATTGCAATTTTACCAACATAAAAAATGCACTAAAAATTATCCAAATATTTTTTATACATAATATTATATATTATTATTATTTATCTTGAAAGTTTGTCGAAATTTATTATTCACTTTATTTCTGGACTACAGGGTGACACATGTGAAATTTTTTAATATTTTAAAATATTTAGTTATATATATTTACATAAAGGAGAAAATCCCAAAAAATTAAAAAAAATAATTATCAAAAAATTAAAATTCACACTTTCCAGGCCCCACGGGAAAATTTCTATAATAGCAGTGCCAAGTTCCATGTGAAATTTTTTTATAGGTTAAAATATTTAGTTATAACTATAGGTGCATATAAAGGAGAAAACCCCAAAAAAACAATTATCAAAAAATAAAAATTCCCATTTTCCTGAATAGCAGTGCCAAGTTTCATATTCCTGTATTAGTTGAAAAATCTAGAAAAAAGACTAAAAATTTCGGCCAAATGCAAAATTAATTGCAAGCCTGCTCCTCACATATTTAATAAAATTAAATTTAAACGTTTTACACATTTTTTTAAATAATACTTAGATAAGGTAAAGATTTAAATATAGATGGTCAAGAGCATTTATAAAACCTAAAGGATTCATTTAAATTTTCCAAACATTCCTTAAAACATTTTGTAGACCTGTGTTAATTTGCTTAGTTATTAAAAAACCATCATCAATATGTACAATGGTATTGTAAACACAGTTTTTTTAAAGAAAATTAATTTTATACTAAAACTTATATTTTATTCCGGAGTGGTGCATGTGTAACAGAAAAGGAAGCAAAATGTGCAAACAAACTACCAAAAAAGAAAAAATATGCTAAAATGATTTATTGCATAAATATTAAACATACATTTTAAGTGCAAAACATTTTCATGCATACGAACTTTGTACAATTTTATAAAATAATAGAAAACACAGAATACGACAAACTACATGCAAAATTTTAAAAACAATACATAGCATACGTAATATTTACATCATAAATTTCTGCTAACATTAACAAAATACAAACGTTATGAGGGAAGGAAACTGCATAATTTCCAGTAAAAGACAAAGTACAAATGAGAAGAATTCAAGGAACCACTACCCACGAAATAAAGTAAAGTTTACGTCTCAGAGCGCGAGGATGAATGTATTATTGATTTTTTCGGAGCACGTGTTTATGCTGACGTCTCGCGTTACCAAATTTCTGTATCTGTTGTAGACGCCGATAGGATTTTTGCTTGCCGATCCGATTTGTCCAGCGGACTTATGTAAATTGGCGAAACCAAAAGCATTTTTTGCGCGAGAGTTTGACTGTAAATGGGCTTATCCAAGTTGGGAAACGAGTAATCTTTGTCTTGTAATTTGTCTATAATTGGATTTTCGGCGTCTGAATTTTTATTGTACGGAAGGTGCATGGTTCTTAAAATTGCGTTCTTTTCGTTTTGCAAATTGTCCTGCAATAATTTTGATATCTTACCTGGATCGGGGATTGAACCGGATTCTTGCATATGAACGTATGCGCCTCGTGAACAACTTTTCGGCGACATTGGTAGGTCACTTGGTGTTACTATAGTAGAAGGAGGCATTCTAATTATTTCAGGTGCTGGATATTTAGCACCCGAAGCAGCTTTAACGATGAATTTTTCTTGGTACGGTGACTGCGGTCTATTGAATTCGACTTGGCTTATGTTGGCCAACCTTTGGATTTTGCTCAATTGTATTGGCCGAACCGGCGTGATATTCCTATGCGTAGCTTGTTGACTCTGCGGTTTAACAGTATTTTTCACAAACGGACCGGGTTCAAAGGTTGAGTGAGCCTTTTTGTTTCTGTTTAAACTATCGGAACTGTATACGACTTTTCCTTCGGCATCCAGAGTCACTCTAGCTCCCTGTCTTTCTTTCCTCTCCAAAGAGTCAGTTGAAACTTCTGGTTTTTTTACGTCTTTTGTCGGTAATTCATTGAGGGATACATATTGAACATCTTTAGTTTGGCTAGGCATTTTTAATTTATTGATATTGTTAATGTTAGAGTAAGTATGTGTATTATTATTGTTTCTAACGTCGGCGATTGTTACATATTCGCCAAAATCGGTGTTTGGATCGTACATGTTATTAAGGAACTTGGTATCGGGTTTTGTGTAACCCATCACGTTTGATTTTAACTTGTCGAATACTGAATTAAATGGCACGAAAGAGGATTTTTCAGGACAAGATTTCACATCCTCAATAGATGTTTCTGGCATATTGGATTCAGGCGAGAAATCTCTTTCCACATTATCCACCGTGGCGTAACCAGATTGTAAGTTTACATTAACCAATGTTAACGTGGACTTATCAACATTGTTGTTTATTACGTAGATATTGGTGTTTTTATTAATATCATTGATCTTATTAAATGATAGATTTAAGTCCAATTTGTCGCGATTAGGAATGTTGCAGTCGACATTTTGATTAATAACTTGAGAATATTTAATGGGATTGTAGGAGTTTTCATCATCACTCTGAAGTGGTGTTATTACACACATGGACGGTATTCTACTTGAATTTATTGTTGTTTTAACCCTTATTCTTTCTGATCCTTCCATATCTGAGGTTTCAGAGTGTTCGAATTCCAAATTCATTTTATTTTCTTCTAAGGGTACATTAGAAATATTTTTTTTATTATCTGTAGTTGTTTCATCAGTCTTTTTGTGGATTAAGGCAATCACTACAGGCTTAGTATTGGCAGGGCTACGTTTTATTGTACCAGTCTTATCACTAAATTCGGCAAAGTTTTTATTAGCTAATGAACTTTTTCTTTCAGGAACTGCAGGACCATTAATTAAAGATTTATTGCTTTCGGCAGCATAAAGAGTGGTACACACTGTACCGGCTGAACTGGTCGTGGTGGATGTCGAACCTCTACCAAACAATTCGTACTCGTTTTCTGCCGTCATGACTGTGTTTTTGTTATTATTATTAATAATACTGACATTGGAAGAGGCTGAAGGAAACAGCATTGAATTGCAGTTGAATTCCTCTTCCTTAAGAGACTTCAACCCGCTATCCATGTGGAATGATGTGTAATATCCTTCAGTATCACAGGAATAAATAGAACTTGTTTCATCTTCGTGCAAGTGAATTATATCGGGCGTTAGCGTTCCCTCGCTTACACTCTCCGTAAAATTAAAGTGCTCGCTGGGTTGATTGCGACTGCAGACGGAGTTAGATGGCTGACTCAAAGAATTGTTGGAGGTTGTAACAGAAGTGGTCGAGGCTGGTTGAGTTGTTAGAGTTAATTCGGAAATCACAGAAGCTCTGCCACTTTCGGAGCTGGCGCTCCAGTTGCCACTTGATGAGTGCGGCTCGTCTTTAAAGCCACCGGACGTTCGTCTTCTTTTTTCATTGGTACTTATTCTAAGTTTAACGTTCTTAATATGTGTCGGTAAAGGAGGAGGCAATGTTGTATTGTTTATAGATTTCTCAGAAGACGAGACAGATGGATAACGTATGTGCGTACGTTTCTCCATATTTTTGCCTTTTTTTCCTTCAATTGTATCACATATATCAAGATAAAATAAACTATCCTCTTTAAACTTGGATTCTGAGTTTTTGTTTCTCAAACGTTCGTACTTATTCTTACCCCACTGTTTAATTATATCGAAATGAGATTTTTTATCGGTGGATTCTTTTTTTGATGTTTCTAAGATGTCGCTACTTCTACTTCTATCCATTCTGTTGGTTTTATTTTCGGGCTTAATTTCGATTGCTTCCTCTCTTTAATAAAAATGGTAATTGTTATAAATTGTTGACTACAAGTTGTATTTGATATATTACCTTGATGTTAAAGCATCTTGTATTTCCTTTTGATCAATTCCTGTTATAGTATTGCGTCGTCGATTTCTCGACTTTCTAGTTTTCGATTTCCTTTTTGAATTTTGATCATTATTCGAACAATTAGCATCTTTATGTAGAAAGGACCTCCGTTGAATAGACATTCTATCGAAACTTTTTCCAGAAATATCGACAGGCACAATTTTAGCAGGAAATCTAAAACAAAAACAAAATTTGTATTCATGTAATACATAATTAAAGACAAGTAAAATACTTAAGTGCTACCGCATTAATTTGTTCTTCCGGAGATGGAAGCTTATGGTCCACGCCATCAATACTCGAACAATTGCTAAGGTTAATATTATTTTCTGTAATGGTATTGCTGTTAGCCACTCTGCTTACGCAATCCGGTGTAACTGTTATGTTTCCTATTGCCTCATTTGATGTCCATCTTCGTAGTTCTTGTACTGCGGAAGGCTAAATACACACAAATATTTCAATAAAAACAAAATGTTGTTCAATAAGCAAAATTGAACTGAGATTAGATAAAAGTTAGGCGTTAGTTTAAGTAAATAACTTAAATATCTTTTCGTGTCAAATATAATAACAAATGAGAAGCGATTAGATAAATTCATTAATGGGCAAAAATGCTTATTTATTTTTGTTAAATAAATAAAATGGAAATATCTGTTTGAAGCAAAAACTCTCCAATCTTATTTTAAATAAACTGCGCACCACTCAATGTGTCGCGACCAAAAAGTTCGTCCTTTTTCAAAACGACATAACTTTTTTGTTTCTTGAATGATTATATTTTGGTCTGTGATGTCTGCTAGCCCCATCCTCTGGCAATTCATGCTATAGATATTTATAGCTTTAGCTCACGGTTCTTCAAGTAAATTTCGTACAGAGTGATATGTAAAACGGTCAAAAATTTCAATAACTTCATCCAAGCCCCGTTTGTAAAAAAATAATTTTTTTCCCGTTTTTACTTTGAAATAATGAAGACATAACCTTGAAAAGGTTTTCAAATTTTTCGTATTGGAATCTTGGCAAAAAAAATATGATTTTTTTTTCAAAAGAGTACATTTAAGGCTTTTTGGTAGGAAATAGACTCAGTCTTTTTAAGAACAAGAAGATAAGATGGTGAAAGATTGTTCCTTGAATAATTCTGAACAAGCGAAAAGCAATTATTTTCAGAGGGGCCTAAGCAAAGACCACTTTTTCAAAATGACATTTTGGTGAAAATTTGCGAAAACTAATCCTGAACCGATATTAACGTTCGTGACATGTTTTCTTTATAATTTTCACCTCCTGATTGTGATTCAGTTGTCAAATTTAAGTTTCAGATAAAACCAAAATCACTAAGAATCAAAATTCGAAAACAATTCCCGGCTGTTAAATGTCTTAATAAAATCAAATTGCTGGCGTGTTTCTTGCATATTTATGATTAAAATGCCATTTGGGGATTCATTTTTTGGGCGCAATTACTGCAATTTGTTTGAGTGGTTAGGATAATGTTACATAACTGTGATATAATAACTAGTGATATCTTATCACTGATAAGTATCTACCTAATTGGTAATAAAGTTAAATAAAAATATTTTTGTTCATTTTGAAAAATTGTATGCGAAGATCAGTGGCGTATTTAGGATTTAGCTCCGGGGGGGGTCCAAAAAAACTAACTAAATATGTACTATGCTATGCTAATACGTAAGTAGTTGATTTTTGATTTTAATGATTTTATATTTAAATATAATTAATAAATAATAAAGTACGTTGACAGTCTTGAGATTTTTATTTTTTTTTAAACTTTTTTTTGTAATAAAAATAATAAAATATGTGCGCCCGGGGGGGGTCCGGACCCGGCGGACCCCCCCCCTAAACACGCCACTGGCGAAGATATAAGCATAATCAAAACTACAACATTCAACAGAAAAATGTAACAATCAACAATAATAACTTTCAATATTTCGTTGGCCCTCCTGGGCCTCGACCAAGTTCCTATAATTAAATATCAATTTCTGGGGTATGTATCCCATTCTTCCTGAATAGCATTTACCAATTCATCAAAATTTTCCATGCGTCCTTCCCTCTCTTTAATCTTCAGTTTCATCCTGCTCCACATATGCTCAATAGGATTCATATCCGGAGACAAAGGTGGCAAATTCATTCTTTTAATATGGTGGTCCCTTAAATGCTCATTTACGATATAGCACGGTTTGACGGGCATTGTCGTCCACCAACACCAATTACACTGTGCAACACAAAACATGAACTGGGATCAAATCTGAAAAAATCGAATCTAGGCAACCCCCAAAACAAATCCTTTAAGGGGTTTTACCAGTTTAGCTCGAATAATGGAGATATATAAAAGCCCCTAGAACTTAAAAAATATGAATTTTATAGAAAAATGCTCGGACACGTCAATTTTTATTTTATATGACGCAATTTTCAGTTGATTTTGAAATTTTTATTTTTTCACAGATTCACCCCCAGCCACCCCACTTTTTTTTTTAAGAAAGCCGACCCTTTGTTATACATTAAATAACAGGTAATGTACTCTCTAAAAATGAATTAGTCAAAAGTAACTAATTTAATAGTTAATAGTGGCTGTTTTTTCACTTGTGCCAAAATTTAACAGCCAATTCTTATGTAAAATTTTCCCCTGAATCAGAAAATACCGTCAAAATTTAAAAAAGTAGAACAGTTTTTGAGATATAGTCAATTCCATATTAAATGGAAAATTGACTATATCTCAAAAACTGTTCCACTTTTTTAACTTTTGACGACTTTTTCGGATTTAAAATTTTACATAAGAATTTGCTGTTAAATTTTGGGATACCATGGTATTCCATGGTTAACCACAGTGGCGGCTCGTGGGTGTACAGGAGGGTGATCTATAAAATTCATATTTTTTAGGTTCTAGGGGCTTTTATATATCTCCATTATTCAAGCTAAACTAGCAAAACCCCTTTAAAGATTAGTTTTGGGGGTTGCATAGATTCGATTTTTCTACATTTCATCCCAGTTCAAATTGTAAGCACAGTGTTATCTGCAATATTTTGAGCATAAGGGACCACGATATCACTAACAACCAAATCTCTGTATCTCTCAGCATTCACTCATTCCAACCCAAACAGTCACTCCTCCACCTCCAAAAGCCACCCGTTTTGTGTCTTCTGCGAACTGTTGATTTTGAGATTTTAATTCCCGTAGCTGCAGCAAATTCTGGCATTGGTATTTGAATCATTTAAAAAAAGAATTAAAGTAACCTGGGTAAGATAGGGGTAGGTATGTAGGTAGGTAGGTATAACTTTTGCAAAAAAACTTCGAAATTTGGAAAAACACAAGCAAACTAAAAAAATCAAGAATATGCCTCATAATGCGTTTTGAATGATTTTTAAGAACTAATTTTCATTTGATCCTTGATTTGATCATTCAGCGACATGATAATAACGTAGGTACTAAAGATGCAAAACAGTAAAAACCAGCAATCGTATTATATTAAGACATTTAACAACCGGGAATTGTTTTCGAATCTTGATTCTTGGTGATTTTGGTTTAAATCTCAAACTTAAATTTGACAACTGAATCATAATCAGAAGGTCAAAATTATGAAGAAAACATGTCACGAACGGAAATATCGGTTTAGGTTTAGTTTTCGCAAATTTTCACCAAAATGTTATTTTGAAAAAGTGGTATTTGCTTAGACCCTTTGAAAATAATGGAAGTTTGTTGCTTGTCGCTTGTTCAGAATTATTTAAGGAACAATCTTTCAATATCTTATCTTCTTGTTCCTCTTTTGAAAAAAAAAAATCATATTTTCGTTGCTAAGATTCCAATACGAAAAATTTGAAAATCATTTAAAGGTAAGACATAATACTTCATTATTTCAAAGTAAAAACGAGAAAAAAATTATTTTTTTTACAAACGGGGCTTGGATGAAGTTATTTAAATTTTTCACCGTTTAACATATGTTATATATCACCCTGTAGGAAATTTACTTGAAAAATCTTGAGCCTCATATTTATATCATGAATTGCCAGAGGATGGGGCAGACCAAAATAAAATCATTCAAGAAACAAAAAAGTTATGTCGTTTTGAAAAAGAACGAACTTTTTGGTCGCAACACATTGAGTAGTGCGCAGTTTAGACCAACAAAATAATTCACTTTTATAGCAATTTCTAGCTTAATTTAAACTATATAAGTTATTCATTATATTATACATGGTGTCATGTATTAATTGTCATACCTTGGGGGGATAATAGTTTACGCCAAAGTAAGCAAGTTTTCCTTGTATCACTTTTGCATTAGTGCTACTGTTTTTAAATTAAAAAAAATCATTAAAATTAACTTTATTCTTAGATAATTGATGGGCAGCCACTGGTCTCGTTTTCGACAGCAACAGCTGTCGACGTTCAAATTATAGTTGGCCCGTTCAAATCATCGACATCACTAACGATAAGAATAACTGACCGACTCTACTTAGTTCGTCGACCACAACTTCTTAAATGTTAGGTAGGTCAAGGTTTAAACGAATCCAGTGTCGTGACAAATAAATGCCTAAGAATTAAGTAAATGTTCATAATTTTTTTATTCAAAAAGAGTAGCACTAATGCAAAAGTTATAGAGGATAAACTGGCTTACTCGTGAACTATCATCCCACCAAGGGATGACGACTTATTAAATGACCATGTATTAACAAAAAGGCATATTGTGTAAAAACAAATCCTGGTTTTGTGCAGTCAAATACTTTTACATAATATTTGTGAATACCACTTGAATGGTGTTAAGGAATCCCTCAAAAAAAGAAATAAATGCATTAATGTAATGGGGGCTTGTAGAACCACCTTTTAAACATAATAAGTTGAAATAATAACAATATTATTGTTAAGCCATACGAAATTATACTAAATTAAAATACTTGAAATTATACAGAACTATGCAAACACACTTTCTGAATTTTCACAGCTGCATGAAACAAACTTGGGTCATTGTTGAATAAAGGAAGCTGGTGAATATTGCATATAAAAAGTTGGCGCAAACATGTTTGCCAGTTTCATTCCCAACAAGGAACCAAGTTTGGTGCAACCAATCGAAATTAGCGATTTGAAAATATAATTAAAATGTTGAACCTAAAATTAACAAAGTAATGAAGAAACCACATCAATTGTTGGACGATATTTTCTCATCTTGACAAAAGTTAGGGTTGGGTTCCTTCTTCTATAACACGGTGTTATTAACAATATTCACTTAATGTAGTGTTTTCAAGCAAAATTAGTACTTTTCGGGACAAATTAATAAACAACCTTTTAGTCTTTACATTGAGTCTAAGAAATCCAATTATTGATTTATAAATTTACTAGAGTAGAAATTTGTAGTAGTAGAAAGTTACCACATACAATTTTTTTTTAACTTTATTTATTTATTTACAATGTTTGATAAAAAAAAATTAGCATTTAATTTAAAAAATTTC